AGCGCAGTTGACAATAGTCTTCCACGCCATAATTCTAATATCAAATACTACTCTCGTTCAGTATTCTCATATTCACGTGCCAGACATGTATCCTCTCCGACACCAGAAAGTTTTGCTGCACATCTGGGGGCCTTTCTCTCTTTTACAATTGAGATGAATTTTTAATTTTGACAACGAAATTGGAATCCTGCATGTTTGGAGATCTCGAATTCAGAGTTTCGGGGGATTTGAAAGAGAAAAGGGGCTCGTCGTTTTTGTGATATTGATCGTTTTTGTCTTTGTTTACTCTGACTTTTTTTGAGAGATGCCGAGGTTGTTTTGATACTAAAATGACCTTGATGGATGGGGAAATTGACTATTGAGAGCTCTCGTCGTGTGTGGGAAGTGAAGTTGCAAAGCTCGGACAGTAACCTACCTGGATTGCCGTCGGTAGGTACGGATGGACAGTGAATGAGTGAGTCTTGAGAAGAATTCGTTACGCATCTGAAGTTTTCAAATCGATGTATCTTTCTATCTCTTGGTCATACTTTGAGAGATAATGGCGGGCGACGGAAGTTTGGATTGTGCATCTGAATTTGAGGTATTTTTGTAATGTTGCGATCGTTCGTCTGTTGGTAGATTTCCTGGTTTTCGTGATGAGTGTTTCATTTGAAGTGAATTATGGGAACTCTTCTTTATGCGCCTACGATTTTATCATAGTACGCCTTTATGTTATGACATATGACTTGGTAAAAGATGATACCGCGAGTACTTGCGCTTCTGTTCCTAGATTATCGCCACATTATCTCATCGATTCTAGACTTCTCATCCCATCTCACCCTTCACAATTCACCCCACTGCACATCAAATTCTTTTTGTTGCACATCTCAATTTCCTATCACAATGCGCTCACGCATCTACTGGCTCAAATCTCAGTTTCAACCTCCACACTCGATCCACTAGCTTCCCGTAGGGCTCCCGCAGCGACCACTAGCTCACAATACCTCAGCCCTACAAGATTTCCCCAGATTCCTCAAAATTTCAAAGAACCAATAACCTTCCGATCGCAAAGCTCAGGCCCCTTTGCGCGCGATCGCAAGTTCCTGAGAGTCTATAATAGCCACTCATTTTTTGCGCCCTTTCCTATTTGGGTCCTGAAACTTTTCTCTTTTTTGAGATGTGCAACAAAAGATTTGGAGGTTTGGGGAGTGCTTGAGATTGGTCGGTTTCTCACTTGGACCAAGCGTAGGGCTGTGACGGCTGGTAGCTGCGGTGTATTCACTTTGTTTCAGGGTGCAGGAGAAGGTGAGGAAGTTTCGGGGCAGATTCGTCTGGTCTTGTCTCTTCGTCTATGGCTTTTGGTTTTGTTGCATGTCTGCAAATCTGAATAGCTTCGAATTTGTCCTTGACAGGGAGAGTCGATGTTTTGAATCTTGTGGTGGGAGTGTGAAGGGCAGTGTCCGTTTGATGAACTGTTCAACAAGGGGGAAATCAGATTTGTGTGCTGTCGCTGGCGTCTATCTCGTCTCATCTTTTGATCTTATCTTCAATCGCTTTATTCCACTCATTCACTTGTCACTTTCTGTCTTATCTCATCTCATCTATTCAATTCTTCTGAATATCTTGCTTCGCTATTGGCTACGGAGTTTAAGGAAGGTTTTTGTTGCATATCGTACTTTTCACTTTTACATTCTTTTTATGGCTTGTCAAAATAAAATTCAGTATGCTAGACTAGGTACTGTGATGTCTTTGGGTGAGTAAAAAAGAGGCCAAGTATCAAGTCTTTCGGGCAATTGAAAAAAACCCCCCAATAAATGCCTGGGTGGTTGCTTGTCTTGACATTCCATGTCGATTTGAGGCTGTGGTCTAATGGTCGGACGATTAACGATTGAATCGCTTGTTGATCAAGCATCAGGCTAAAATATTAACTTCGTATGATTCATCCAATAAGCACGTAGATTTACTCGAGCCTCAAATGCACTTTTTAAGAATCTCTCGTCATCTTCAAGTGGTGGGGGCCAAGTACCGTCTTACCAAGCAGCAATGCTACACTTTTTATGATTTACAGCCTCCCGAAACCATAAAGGAGACTGGCTATCACGATTTTATAGCCGAAAGCAAGTGGTTGCCTCATGCAATCGTCTTGCCAATCAATTTCGACAAAGCTAGCTGAATGTGTTCATTGGGTGCAAGATTCTTACCCACCCGCTTATCCTGCAGTAAGCAGCATTAGCCCATTTCAAACTATCAAAATGCAACGCACATGAATTTCGAAACGTCTAGAGTGCTTGGAGCCCCCAGTATTTCTAGCAGTATCTAGTTTGATTCGAGGAGGTTAATCTTATCAAGGGAATCGACTCAAGCTTATCGATGAAGGTTGAGTCATGCGCCGTTTTTGTGAGGCTCAAGATGTTTCGTGTGCAAAGCTCCTTTATGGGCTTTTGGCTGATCGTGAAGGAATTCGACTTGAGATAAACTATCTTAATCTAGACACTGATACAATGAGGCTGGGTATTAACAGCGACTCTTTTACTTGCATCGGAAGGGTGTGGTCTGGAATCTGACAGCATGGAATATATATATAGAGAGAGAGAGAGAGAGAGAGAGAGAGGACAGTATGATCTGTTTACACGCATATATGTTTGTCATTTCATTTCGAGCCCCGAAGTGAACTAAACCCAACTTCCTCTTGTCCAAAATGAATATCACTACACGATATCCACACATGTATTTCCTCTATCTCCTCTACATACCATCAGTTCTCGCAGACAATACACAAAGTAACGCCTTCAGCGCCGAAGCCTCGTGTTATGCCCTCCCATATGGTGGTTGGGGCTTCTTCTCTCACATCCTCACATATTACACCGTTATCGTAATGTGTTGCCACAAGAGACCTGCCACACCATGGATAGACTCCACTCCCGACAGCACATGGAACAAAGCGATCGCTATTGTAAAGCTTCTCTTTACACTCCTACCAGCCATCAAAACCATGATTACATGCAATCACGCCTGGTATATCCCACCTTCCCCCTTCAACACTTCATCCCATCTCGCGAAAATTCTAACTTGTCATTTTCCAGGCAATTTGAAACCATCGCGGCAATGAAACTAGCTCTCTCGCTTACCTCGGGCTTCATCGCCATCTTCCCTTCTTTCTGGTGGCTGCTCCTCTATCTCCCCGGCGTCATCGCCGGCACAGCCGGTACCATCTCTCTTGCCTCATCTAATTTCTCATCGCGAATGAGCACCATCACTGCGGTGTTTGGAGGCGTGGGCTTAGCAATCGCCATCGCAACTGTATTCATCTCCTGCCTCTGGTTCTCGGGTAGCGATAAAAATCCCTTTGGAACGGGCGCATTGATCGGACTTAGTGGATATGCGTCTTGCGTGCCGATTTGTTTGGTTTTCGGGGCGCTGTATTCGGATTGGGTGCTGGCGATTGTGGCGGGTAATTTGATGGGGTATCCTTCTGGTCAGTCGAAGAGTGTGCAGGCGTTGTGGGTTTTGTACATGATTGGGAAGAGGTTGAATTTGTTGACGATTTGAAAGAGTGAGTTTTGTTACTGTAAGTGGTTGACGGGAAGGAGAAATGTATAATGATTGTGGTGAGGTTTGGTAGGCTAATTCGAATGAGTGCTTATTTGGGTAAATAGTCTTGAATAAAATTGTCATTAATTTAAAACTCATTTAAGTATTCATTTGCCTCATTGAAACGAGGATCTCGAGTTCAGATGTGCAATGAAATTTTAGCAAATCTATAATCTCATGAACGCTACCACTCAAATACTTGTATAGTCAGACGTTAGCGTATTTATCAAAAAGCGCAAACTATTGAGCTTCGTCGATGGTCGAAATATCTCGCTAGGTCTATTCGATGTACCACCTTCTCCCAATTACGAAAATTTCATTTCGCAATGGGTACCCTCCTACATTTTGGTAATTCGTACCTTCACTCAAAGTTCGAAGCAAAGTTGCTGGGAGGAGAACTCCTCTTGAGTAGTCATAAAATGAAGGTAAATTCTGGAATATCCTAAACAAACTTGTTTTAACACACTCCTCATAACGTGTCGAATTTCGCCAATACCCCCGACCCTCCCTCCCATAATCCCCAATCCCTCTTCCTCTCACACAACCCACAATCCTCTCTCCTTATGCCACTCTTCTATACTAAACTCCCCATACCCCTCATAAACATTCTTCTTTCCCTCCGGCCACCTAACATATTCCGGCTTACTATCCCCCTTCACACAAACCATTTCCTCCGCAATCGGTAGTTCCGTATCAATTGCACTCGCAAAAGGATGAATTAGCTCCGGCCATGTTTTATCCCAAAGCCAGAGCATCGATGCACATTCGCTGCAGAAATTGCGTTCGGATGTGCATTTTTTGGCCGTGGGTTTGCCACGGTCGGCGGTTGCAGTGTATTTTCTACGGAATGTTAGAGCAAGGAGAAGAAACAACAAGAGAAAGGGGGAGAAGGAAGTACTTGATGTGTTCTTTGCCCTTGGTAATCTCGAGCGTAGAGGCTATACCGCCTAGATTAACGCATCCACCGTAGCCCCCACATTTGCGACAGATGGAACAAGCGCAGAGTTGGTATGGCACGGGAGTCTGGGATTGGAGAGAAAATTCTACGAGGCCGCATTGGCAGCTTCCTTCTAGTTTCCTGGGATAGATATTAGCAACGTGGTTCAAAGCTTTGAAGAGGGGTAATCTGGATGGGACCTGCATTGGCATTTTGAGTATTTGAGGTGATATGTGAAGTTATTCGATAGACAAGCTACTTATAAATAGGAAGATTTATTTCTTTAATATTAATTTTTCATTACAAATGCTTCGTTGTTTACTCAAGGAGTTGTCATCGACATTAACCCCTCATTACGAGTTGAGCTCCGATAGCTTACGTCATAAATCTGGGGTAGAATTATCGGAACAATAGAAAATCCTTCTCCGATCAAGTGCATGTAATTTATCTACAACATCGAATCATTCCAACAGTAAAATACGCATCAATAATCATGAGTACATTTGGAAGCCCGGGTGGGCGTATGGTCAATAACAAACCTTCGCCGTATGTTACTCTCATGATTTTATAATTTGTCGTGTATTCTGGCAAAGAGAAAACTAACGATTGAATTTGGGAATACAGGCCGGAGAGAGGAAGTTTTCCATTGGATCATGATGGTATGGTTTACTTTTCTTCCTTGAATACGAATTTACGAGTGCGCAAATCGAAATGGCTTTGAATTATGGAATGTTAGAACATATACTAATACGGCAATGCGACTACAGGTGAATGCAAATCAGTAATGCAAAGTTATCTCAATTGTATGAAGAAGGTTCGAGGCATGAATGATCCAGAATGTAGGGATCTGGCGAAATCATATTTGTCGTGTCGGATGGATAGGTGGGTCACTGGCTTTCATACATATTTGGGTAGTGAATTGGGAATCGGAATAGGGTTTGAGACGTTGAGGACTAACGGTTGGATGTGCTGCAGGAATTTGATGGCGAAGGACGAATTCAAGAACTTAGGGTTTGCGGATGAGAGCTCAGAGACGAAAGTTGCAGATAAGAAGGATGATGTAAAAGAGGGTGGCGACGATGCAAACAAACATAAGAACGAGCTAAGGTGGTGAAGGTGGTGAAGGTGGCTAAGGTGGCTATGGATTGGTTCGAGGCGAGTTGAAAAGAAACGAATGAAACACTATGGGATAGCGAGGAGGTATCTTATCATCATCTGTAAAACTACAGCATTGGGTCGGCGTTTTTGGGTGGAGCTACAGGGTGGATGTCTGTCAAAATGTTTGAATAAAATGCCAAGGAAATTTATTTTCACACCACATGCAAGGGAATATTGTTTCGGCTACAGCGTCATTCTATTTTGTTTTCCATTCGATGGTGCTGGTAGTCGCAGGGTCTAGATTCTAGCCATCATACTTATGGTTTGCTATGTTGCCCAATAAGCGAGGGTTCAAATACGATGCTTTCAAGTGCGAGACCGTCAACAAGTGTAGACGATAGATATTGCCTTTGCCAAAGCCTTTAATTATATGGAGTTCAAGGACAGAACATATACTTCTTTTTATTTCCGTCATCTCCAACAAGCGATCCACCCTGAAACTGCTCAAGATTTAGATCGGAAGACTTCACAAAAGATTGTGTAAGTCTGATCATCTTAATTTACTTGGGGACGAATAACGGGTTCAGCATACCGAATAAATACGGGGACTATTTCTCCCAATTTTCAGTTTGCAATGGCATGTTTTGGATACATTTGCCAGCTGAACGGACTGTCAATATTCGAGTATCGCATTGATCACCTACATTCAATTGCTATTTTTCGGAATTTGTTTTGTGTGTATTATGATATAATATATCCTTGATCGAGCAACAATAGCTCTAATAAATTCATGCAAAAATGGAGTATTAGGAAAGCGTGCAATAATTGGAATGAAGGAGGGCTACCATTTCCAGTTACTCATAGGGCAGCCCCATTGATCTAAACGACACCAAACAGGCAAACTCAAATAACAGCGAATCAATGAAACTTTCACTCAAACTCCCAGAATGAACACAACTAATCTTGCCGTGCTGGTGGTTCTTGACCATGTGACGACAGCAAATGAGCAGTCCCAGACTTAACTACTCCCTGGCAACGGTTAACGATCACGCCCCGTATAGTTCCTGGTATTATTTGGTCGAGGAACCCGCGTATCACTCCTCGGCTCCCTGCTCTGCCTTTGAGGATTATCTATCTCAAGAATAGATTGTGCTCTCTCATGTGTTGCTTTGAGTTCCATACACTTTGAAATAAGTTCCTTTACTACTTTCTCCTTGACCTCATTCTCCCTACAATTATTTGATTTGAGAATCTGACGATATCGAATGATGACAAGGTCTAAATCATCCTCGTTTTTCCCCATTGTTCTCATGGTCTCCCATGTCTCAGGTGTTCACCCGTTAGCATCTTTAAATGCTTTTTCATAAGCCGTTGCATCCCCTTCTGTCTGCACCGACCCTCCTTTCTTGAGTTCTCTATCTTCATTCTTGATAGAGTTCTCAATTTTCCAATGGATTTGCTGAGCTTTTACAAGATGTTCCGTGCATTTTTCAACATTAATTCCAACCTTGCTTCGTCCCTTTAGAATCCCATCGATCTCGTGTAATTTTTCTAATTTTATTTTCACTTCATGTAAGAGAGGACCAATGTCTTCCGCCAATCCAGGCATGCATGCAAATTCTTTGAGGGTCCTTCTAAGATAACCCATGTTCGGAACTCTTGGAGCTTGGGAGGCTACGTCAGATTGTTTGCGGTTATCTCGAGATCTCGATGAAGCTCTTGAACCTCCCCTTGGTGCCTCTGTTTGATCATCTCGATAGTCTCGATTCTTTCTAGACTCGCTGTCTTTACGACGAAAGGGGTTTTTGCTAAACATTGGTTTGCCCCCCAAAAATAAGGCTACTTAATGCAATGAATTGAAAAAGTTCGAACAATGATTTATGTACACAGCTAAATTCAATTGCATTCGAGGGTTTTTAATAATTAAATCGTTTAGGCATATGTTCCAACTGATTCTGACAGTGCTGGGAACGAATTTCAAAGACTAAACCCTCTAGAGGTATATGAGACTTTGAAACTGATGCCTAAGCCTATAATACAACCTTGATACTTTCCTTGAGCGGCTACCGCGGTTTGTTGTCGCTGGCGCTTAAGATTATGGCCTTCTTGAGGTCGCATGTGGTCGATCGCTAGATTACAGCGGTACACAGGAGTGGGTTAAAGGAAGATTTGTTGCGATGTAAAAAGCATACAGAAGCATGAAGAATTGTTGACTAGAGAAATTTGAAGATGAAATGGTGTGGTAGTCTGTGAAGGATTTAAAGTTACGAAAATTTAGAAGATTACGGACGTGGGTATAATGGAATTTGTTGTCATAACCTATCGGAAAGCTTTCTGCATTTGTTACAGATTGGGTTTGTCGCTGGATTTAATACCAGTGCCGGACTTTTGTTGATGATTTGAACTGCGAGCTGTGGTAATATGCCAGAAACTCGAAAAAATGACGTTCAATATCCTCCAGGTTACATATGTGTTCGTGGAGCTGTTGATTATACCGGACATCCGAGTTTTTCGTAAGAAATGATTGTACGCTGACTTTCAACAAACGTCTAATATGCAGAGTTCCTAGACTCATGGGCAAGCACGAGAGTCTTTTGTGACTGGGCCTTCTCTCAACTGGAACTGTCGATGTATACTTGGTCTCGAAATATCTAATTGAACCGCGCTACATATACTAAGCTCCTTGATTTCAACATCGGGCTCGATGTCGATTACTTCCACTAGTTCAACTGTGAATACTTGGAGACTGTTATATCTAGATATCAAGCTGCTTTATTTCATTCACAAACTAAATCCCTCAATTTCAAGGGATTTCTGAGAATATTGATATGGATTATATTCTTGTGATTGTAGGTACTTTCACAAAATTTGCCTCCCGGCTCCTTCATAGATTGTTTAACATGCTTTCCTCCTTACTTCCAAACACCCGCCCCTTAAAATCATCTCAAGACTCAATCCCCTCATCGAAATTCTCAACGACGCCGCCTTATCCATCTCACAACCTCATATCACATATTGGCAAACTACTCAACTCGTCTCGGCTCCATATATAATATGCCCATCCGACTTCTTAACTGGGCGACAGATTTCCAACATTGCCAACGAATACGACCAGCACAGCACAGTAGCTACATAATTAAGTTGAGGTGTTAGCGTAGAGGTCTCAAGACCTTAAGTGAGAGAACAAGACTTACGCAGCTGCCGCGGCAAGAACCTCATGGCGCTTGGCTCTCGTGAAGAGTGACAAAACTGCCGAGAATGATAGTGTAAAGATCAGTAGTATACCGATAAGAATCCCTATGGGTGACTTCGAGCTGGGGACATTACTCAAATACCATAATATATATACTGGAATAACAAGAAGGGTTAGTATAGTGATGAGAATTATCACCGACACTACGATGTTGACACGCTCAGGGCTAAAAAGAATAAGATTCGTAGATTCTGGATTAGTTTTCTCTCTCAATTCCTGAATATCATACAGGAGTTAGCAAATATTAGCCGCAATTGTTCAGCAGACATCTAACCGGAGGGCAGAAAATGTGCCGAGTCAAACGACTTGGGAATTTCTGCGGGATCTTCTGAATAATTCCATCAAGCCAAGTGTTTTCTCTGCTTGGCTTCAGAGTGATAAGGTCTTCTTTGCAAAGAATATACGCTTGCTCGGAAGTACAGAGGGGAGATTGTTCATCGAAATAAGACCTGACCCTAACATAATCCATGGTCGTCGGTCGGTCGAGAATTGCAAGATTTTGAGAGATGGTTAGGAGTTGGGCTGGGAGCATAGAAAGGTAGGTATTAGTTCCATCGCTACCGATATCAGATCATCATTCGTACCGTATTCTCTATACTTTATCACAATGGAATACATCCATGAGGTTCTTATGGTCTACAATTTTTCCGTGGTCCGGCGCCCGAGATTTATGACTTTCTGCGTCGTTCCTCGTGTATATTTCATCCGGTTTGAATAGGAGGGCTTCCGGAGCTCGTAACGAGTCTGGCTTGTGTATGTAGCAAATGGTGTGCTTGAAGATGCTCGAAGTGGTGATAAAACTTGAAGGGCTCGTTGCTAGATGGTTATAGCCATCTATGACTTATATTACATTGCGGAGTAGACGCATCGTCCTGAATACATATCCAGGTTTGTAAATGTGTTCGAGACTCTTCTGCATTCTACGTTGGACACGGCAGGTGTGACAGTAATAGTAGCCACATAAAGTTTCCGAATCACACAAAAGTGGTATTGGAAGAGTACTTGGAACTTACTGCGGCCGGTAACAATCTGAACCTCAAGCTTCTCTTTACCATCTCAATACAGTGAACGGATCGCATGCAATTCTCGGTAACTATGTTAGTGAATACATCTGATGAAAATTTCAACCGATCACAATTTGGAGCTCAACCAATTGATGAAAAGAAGTGACGGCTACATACCTGGGTATTCTATACTTTTGAGATGCAGCTCGGTTGCCTGCAAGCTCTGCGTCCGACGACAACTGCGGCAGTTCGTTAGTGCTTTGTGTTCAGTTTACCACGTGCATGTTAGAGGGCAGTTTTTCAAAAACATTCGTGTGATTTTAATAGGTAGGTAATTCGGACTGAGTGTGGCCAGGTATATAGCAACTGGAAATTAAGATTTGTTGATTGAAGCTGATTATTCGCTAAATAGAGGCGATGTGGTGATGTGACGAAACTATGTTCGAAACTTTCGTCTTGAAGATTGAATGTCTTCTGCTCACTTTCGTTGATTTCATCTTAGGGGTAGTTATGCAGATTTGTATGTTCTTTTTGAGATTAGTATTCTTTAAAGAAGGAAAGGGAGAGTAGCAGCAGAGAGGAGGCGAGAATAGCAGACATCTGATTGGCTAACTGGAGGCGAGGATGAAAATTTGGGCGTGTTGGCGAGGTCCATGGAACTTGGTGGTGAAGTGATCGTGTACTCTGATTCCCCACGCCTTTACAACAGATTAAGCATACGTAGCGATTTAATGGTCGAGGTATATGTATGGTATTGACTGGGCTGAGTTATCTCTCTCTGGTGGATACCAATGTCATCATCAATCAAGTACTTCAGTCCATGAATGAGAGTAGGAGTTCCAGATCTGTTGATGTGTTTTTCATTTGAAGTCACGAAGCTGGTTTGAATCACTACACTGAAAGCGAATTCCAGTAAAACAGACAGGTTCACGTATATCAAGAACATTGAAGGTAAAATAAAGTCAAAAGACGGAAGCTTATGGAACCTCCTACTGCTCAGACCTGTAGGCTGAATCTTTACTCCTCCTTTGGAAAAGAAGTAGTACCCTTATCCTGTAGAGAACTCATCATTTGTTTCAACTATTGCTTCCCATTCAAACTCTATGTCAATTTGAATGGCAAAACTGTAAGTGATGGTTGCTATTGACAGTGGTTCTCGAACGACTAAGCAAGTTCATTTCAAAACTGGTTAGACTGCCGAGATCAGGCAATGGTGAGAACTTGTGAATAACAACAGTAACTTCAACTTCCATTCTTTTTTTTCTTCAACAACAAAAATCTAGAATCTGTAAGTATTTTTTGAAAGATTTCTGAACTCCTGTTAGGGGTAACAATTACTAACATTATATATCAGAAGCTCGGGCCAGCATTCTGCACCTGCACGGGCCTCTTTCATCAATATGCCTCCCAAACCAAAACAAAGCTGTCGAAAGCAAGCCACCACCTCCAAGAATCAACCTTCAAAACCTCCATACAATCTTGAAGGGAGAGTTTTCAGCATGGATAAATCTGAACCTTTCATCGATTCCGGCTTAATTGCCGTTGCTCTTGTTATCAAATCACAAACAGGACCACATTTTGTTTTTCACTATCCACCTCGACCATCATTTGCTCCACCACCACGCAATTATAGATATGGCACGGAAACTGATCAGAGCGAGCTTGAAGACCGGACACCTAGCGATGAGGATGACAGCGACGACTTCTCCGATCTTGAAGACCCAATTGCTTCAAAAATTGGAAAATTGAACTTGAATGGAAAAAAGGGGAATGGTGGAAATGGCAGTAGATCGCGTCACGTGGAAATTGAAAACGACGATCACCTTGAAGGCAGAGACGGCGAACAAATCGTTCCTTGGGAACAATTCGGCGAGTTTCCTACCGTTGATCTTGCGAGTATCTTGACTCCACCACGCGCGTACCATAAAAAGAAGTTTGAGCTGTCAATTGACAATCTCTACTTTGTTTCCTATCCCTTGCACATCCGCGAGGATGGATTTTGGAAGAAGCCGAGAAAGTCGAAGAAGGGCAAAGAGGTAGCCAAGGATGAAGATGAAGCAGAAGAAGGTCAGGCGGCTAGCGGCAGTCAGGCAAAAAAGGGCAGTAGTTCGGATGACGGTGATGATCATGGAGAAATGACAATGTTTAACGTTGTTTTCGTCATCAGTTTACCTAGGCACGAACAAGATGAGAGAATCGAGGAGCTTTATGAGCATGTTATTAAGACTTTCAACAAGGCCCTCAACCATGCTCAAGCTCAGAGCAATTATGTTTGGAAAGAATCTGAGACCATTCTAGGCATGAAGGAGAGAGCCCGCGAAGATAGTAAGTCCTCCTTGTACATTAATTTACTTCACAATCTAACTTGTTGATAGAGCGCCCAATGAGTCAATTGTGGAGTCAAATCCTGATCAAATCTACTTTGGCAGATGCAATGCGCGACGTTTACGATGCCGTTGTCAACAATACCATCACTACCGTTTGTCTCGACACCAAGCCTCCCATTGATTTGTCTCTTCATATCCCAATTCCCACATTTTTGACGAGCTTTCCAAACCCCAACGAGCGAGCAAAACCCGGCGTATTACTTTCTAGTGCCAACCCTCTTGTCGATGAGGAAGGTAATCCAGACCCCACACAACTTGATAAGCATTTTGCACTTCTACTTCTTGAGGATGAGGTTGACGTTATCGCGGAGATATCATCTGAAGATACAGAGCTTTCTGCTCCTTTGATTCAAGTTATTAAATGGGCTAAACCTACTTTATCCTTTCAACAAGTCGCTCAAGCAAACAATGTTGGTCTTGATGAAGTTCTTACCCTCGCACAACATTTGATCTACTGGCGTAAAGCAATTGCTATTCCACCTATTCACGCTCGCGACATGTTTATCGTTTCTCCCAACTGCGATATGCACAAGTTAATTACAGCAAGCCAACAATGGAAAAAGGCATTTCCTTTTGCTCCATCTTTACAAAGTTTCCTTGGCCAAATATCCTATGCTCCACGCCCCTACAAGTCCTTCGTCCCCTCCAAGAGTCATCGCGAAAAATATATGGAAATGCTTGCATGGCTCATTCGTGGAGGCTGGGTCACTCATCTGCGAACGTTTTGTTGGATCTGGGTCTGGCCTGAGATCATTTATGAGGTCGAATACCAATTAAAGGCAGAAGCTATCGAGAGAACAAAGAACCCACCTGTTCACACCGCGCCCGGATCCCCGGAAGGCAACTCTTCTGAAGAAGCTACAGATGCTGAGAAGGCGGCAGCCCTCGACCCAACAGCCCCTCTCACTACTGAGCAAGCAGCCGAAGCTGCACGCCTTGAAAGACTCGCCGCTAAGACAGTTGCAGAAGCTAAAGCCGCCGAAGACGAATTCGAGAAAATGCCTGTTCCAGAAGCTACCGAGCATCCTTCTTTAAACAATGCAGAGCACTTGAAATACATATCCTCCTATGCCATTGTCGATCCCCACAAGGCTAGTCATGTAGAGACAATGTATATTGCAGCTATTGGTAAGCGCTGGACTGACCCCAAGGCAAAAGCATTGTGGCCAAAGTTCGTGAAGTACTTCAATGGAACGACTGCTTTGGAAGACATTTGGGCTAAGGAGGGAATGAAGCGTAAGGAGACGTGGAATGTTTTGATGGCTTATCAGGAGCAGATTCTAGTTATGAAACATTGGTAGATGCTGATGATTGATCTTTTACGTTCTCTTCTACGAAGATTAACTTCTGGAGAAGTGAAAGGATGGATGCTATGATGATGATTTACGATGATATTGAGGATGATACGGCGTTACAAAGTTCCAGGAACGGATAGGTTAGGATGATACCATGGCTTTAGTGAATATCTTCGTGATTTGATACCCTTCCATATGAAGGCTAGGTATGCCTGAGAATTAATCAAGTCAATTACTTTGTCCCGGTGTCTGTTGACATGGAAACGGGTGAACTACGTAGTGCTGGTTCGCATACCTACCTAAAATTACACAGCAAGGCTGAATGGAAGAATACATTGTTCACGAAGAAGTACCCAAAAAGTTCAAGATTCACCATATCTCGTTCAAGTGAGAGATGAAAAGGGGACAGAAGTGACAAAAACTCTAAATAACGACAATAGTTGGAAAAAATAGCCAATCAAGATGGTAAGATCATTACTTTCTGAGAGCGCCCTAAATACCACACAAGTTAGATGAGTTTCCCCCGTGTTAATTCTATAATCAGATTTTGGCCGCTTCCAGAATCATGGACGGGACGGGACGTCGTGTCCGATTTCTTTGCTTCTCGTGAATCTATTAGACCTTGAGCTCTATGCTGGGAGATTCACAAGACTCTTTAAGGGGTCCGCAGTAATCTTGGGGGAAGATGCTTTATTGCTACTTTGTTGTCCATGGTTTGAAATTCTTAGGGTACGGTTAGCTCATTACATATGCCATACGTCTCGTACTAATTTGGGAAATCACGGAGTGACACACGCAGTTCGATATCTCAACACCATGTCCTTAAATCTTGCAAATTCAGTCGCC